AGAAATCATTATCAATGGTTCCCTGAGCCTAGGGAGGTACCGTTAATTGTAGAAATGTATGAAGAAACTTTCGGGGTGATGGATATTCTTCACCTTGATTATGATTGGTCTTTAGACAAGTATACATATGTGTCTGCCAAAAACTCTTTAAACTGACATAGTAAATGGGTACATTTTGTGTTGTATACTGGTTACACCTCTCCATAAATTAGATTTTTAAAGTGAGAGAAACTGAAAAATCTAAGTAAAAATTGAATTTGGGCCACTGTAGAATGCAACTGAAAAATGTGTGATCTCCACTTACTAGGGACTTTCATCATTTTAATGTGGTAAATGATTACTAACTACATAAGACTGGCAGAGTGGCATTCCCTGAAGTTTTGCTCACCTTCCACACTGATTATGAGGGATGAGGAAAACATCAAACTAGAATGGAGACTGGGATTTGAAACTCTATTTGGATAAAATAACACCTTGTCACTACCATCGCGCATTCTAGTCCAATCAGCTGCTAACAGTTCTCCGTTGGTGGCAGAGGAGAGATTTATCTTGCTGTGTAAAGACTGATGAACTTAATTCAAATTGTGTAGCATTAGATCAAAGAGGACTGAAATGCTAATGTGTCTGTAGGTCAGTTGCTTGATTTTAGAAATAACTGAAAGTGTAAGAAAACAGCAAGCGAGTGAGAGACACTTGAGGCTTTTATAAATAGACTAGACTGATAATTTAGGCAGATGGTGTAGGCACAGTATTTGAATCTCAGCAAAGTATTTGACTAAAATCTCTCATGATATTCTTGAGGATAAAAAGAGATGTGTAACACACATGAAGAATTTAACTAGGTTCATAATTGTATAATTATCATACCTGAAGTTCTTACACAAGGAGAGTTTTGTCCTGGCTCTTCTCTTGAATATGACTAGCATATATTTATACATTACTTAGATGAAGGCATCATTCGCATGCTGATAAACTTATTTTTTAGTGAAAACTAGAACTTTAACAAGCTACAATTACAGGGCATGTCTCAGGACTTCCCTGGTGGCTCAGACAGTAAAGAATCCGCCTGCGATGCCAGAGACCTGGGTTCAGTCACTGGGTTGGCTAGATCCCCCGGAGGAGGGCATAGCAACCCACTCCAGTATTCTTGCCTAGAGAATCCCCATGGAGAGGAGCTTGGCAGGTAGCAGTCCGTAGGATCATAAGGAGTCAGACACGCATGAGCAACTAAGCACATGTAGGCCATGTGTGCAAAATATGAAATCTTATTCAAGTCCAGAATAGAGAAGTACACAGATTTTGGATAAGGGAAATGGTTTTGCGGAGCCATGCAAGAACAACCAACTCTCTAGGGCTATAGTTGAATATAATTTTAATAGGAGTCAGTAGAGTGACCGTAGCTGCCATAACAGTGGCTGATTTAATAAACATTTTTTTCCCACCATAAGGAAAATGAAAGGAATTTGGGTTTTGTTTTGCTTTTTCTGTTTTTTGAGATTGCAAAAGTAAGTGACATCATGCAGTATTTGTCTTTCTCTGACCTGTTTCACTTAGCATAATGACCTCGAGATCCATCCATGTTGTCATAAATGGCTGGATATCCTCATTTTTTATGGCTGAATACTATTGCTTTGTATATGGGTGTGTGTGTGTTAACATTTTCTTTATCCATTGATGGACACTTAAGTTGTTTCCATGTCTTGGTTGCTGTGAATAATGCTGCAGTGAACATGAGGGTGCAAGTGTCTTTGAGATCCTGAGTTAAATATTTTTGGATATATATACCCCAACATGGGATTGTTAGAGCGTATGGTAATTCTGTGTCTAATTTTTTGCAGAACCTCCATTCTGTTTTCCATAGCAGCTGTACCAATTTATAGTCCCACCAACAGTACATAAGGATTCCCTTTATCTGCTCCTCGCCAACACTTGGCATTTCTTACCTTTTTGATAATAGCCATTATAACAGATACGACATGATATTTTGTTGTGGTTTTGGTTTGCATTTCCCTGGTAGGTAGTGGTGTTGAACACCTTTTCATGTATGTACCTGTTAGCCTATCTGTATTTCTTCTTTGGAAAAATGTCTGTTTTTAAAACTTGATTGAGTTTTTGGTTACTGAGATGTGAGTTCTTTTTATTTTTTGATATTCCCTATAGATACATGATTTACATATACTTTCTCCCCTTTGGTAGGTTGCTTTTTCATCTTGGTGGTGGTTTCCTATGTTGTGCAGAAGCTTAGTTTGATGTCAGGGCATCATAGTATGGTCTAAAAAGAACGCTGAAAAATTGAATCTTGCATAAGACCTTGAAAGAAACAGCATAGAGAACAAATTTTACTAGCTGATGTGCCAGCTTCTTAAGGTTAAATTGATTCTGTAGGTGGATACTTTTCTTCAGGAAAGGAGACTCCTAACAGAAACCTATCAAGAGCATGATATTCATTTAGTTTATAACATGTTTTTTTCTTTCCTACTACTTTTATGGACTTCCTTGGTGGCTCAGACGGTAAAGAATCTGCCTGCAATGGGGGAGACCTGAGTTCGATCCCTGGGCTGGGAAGCTCACCTGGAGGAGGGCATGGTAACCAACTCCAGTATTCTTGCCTGGAGAATTCATTCCATAGACAGAGGCGCCTGGCAGGCTACAGCCCATGGGGTCACAAAGAGTCGGACATGACTCAGCGACTAAGCACTACTTTTATAAACTTAGAGGGTTCTTCTTAGCATCTTTGAAACGTTAGAAGGAGTTCCAGTGTAACTGTCCTATATAACAGATAGACTTTTGTATCATCTATAGCAAAGTCTGTTTATTCTTTTTTTTTTTAGTCCTTTTATTCTTGTTCCCTTCCTTACCCTCAACCAGTTATTGTGGGGTGTGGCATCTTACATTGTAACTGGTTGATGCTTAAGGAAATCATGGTTTAGGGTCAGCCTATATCTAGAATATTATAGGGATTGAGTAGGGATTGAGGTATGATACTCATCCCTTTTTTCCAGCTGAGGAGTTTGAGTCTCTCCTCTTTCCAACCTTCCATTATGTAGACCAGGATTTCTGCTCTTTTGCTGCTTTTGTTATAGAAGTGTTGCAGAAAGAGTTTATTAAATAAAATACAAGTTAGTAGAGCAATTTCTAAATGATAAAAGACTACACACGGATAAAGTAATATTAGTTCAGGTTGCAGCTGTATGCAACTTTGACCTATAATAGATTTATGCTGTTTATGATTATGTATCACTAGCTCAGCCATTATATTTATATCTTGTTAATTATCTAGTACTTTCCTGGTCAGAAATTTTCTCTCTTCAACCCTCTAGTTACATTTCTATCTACCTTATTCTTGGTGTATTTCTTTGTATCAAATTTGTTGAAAAGATTGAGACTATCCATCAAGAATACCTATATCTTCCCATCTTGTAACTTCATCGTGCCTCTCTATTTTCATATGTACCACCCATTTGTTGTTGTTGTCTTTAATTTCAAAGGAGACAGGACCTCTTTCCAGAAACCACACCTTTTCTGTGTACTAAATACTAAGAAGTCCCAAACTCCACCACCAGTATCGCGACCTATCCACTTTTCTTTCTGATGAGGATAAGGTCTCCCCATCTTGGAACAGCTTTTGATTGACTCATTTTTCTCCTTTTGAACCTTTCTATGTCACTGCAGCACTTTTCAAGCATATGAGGCCTATAACTGATAACCATGTTTTCTTTCGATGCAAGAGTGAGTGTGATGTAGCATATCAAACTCTCAGCCTAAAAAATCATGACGACAGGATAATTTCAGATTGTGATAAATGCTGTGAAGGAAATAAACAGTATAATGTAAGAGTAATTGGAGGAGAAGGAGTTGGCTTTGTATAAGCAGTAATTTTAAATAAAGATGTTGCCTGAGAAAAAATTTCAAAGTTTTGATCTCTGGATGAGGAAATTGAAGATAAGAAAGCATAAATAATTAAGTTAATTATTTGCAAATGTTTTCTTTTTAACAGTGTTCATTATATAATTTTGATTATATCATTTGAATTTTAAAGTCTTACTTCAAGGCAAAATTTATTTCCTAATAGTCATCGTTAGATTCCAGAAGTCTCATGTATCTGTTCTTCCTACAGTTAAATGAAGAAAAATAACCTTCACTAGGACATTATATTTATCTCATTGTTGTTGATTCAGTGTATATGTATTGAATATTTACCACATGCCAGGCATGCTACTAGGCACTGGGGATAAACAGAAACAAACCAGACACAGCTCTTTCCCTCAATAAACTCAACTGAGGCAGTTTTTAGGGGTAACAGATGATTTAAATTTATCATTGACTTTGAAATAGATTCACTGTGTCTGTTACAGTAGAAAGTTCCTCACTAGTTTTAAGAAGGTATATGAATACAACATTTAAAAGTGATTTTATTTTATCAAATGGAGTTTATATTCCAAATAGAAAGTGAACATAGGTGAAAAAAGCAAACAAACATGAATCAAACTGTTACAGTAATTACTATATAATTGAACAGGGGAAAGATCACTTCATTTATGGTTGAGTCTTGGGAAAATGTCACTTAGAAGTCAGAACTATATTCAGTCTTAAGGAATAAGTCTGATTCAGTGGAGAATAAAATGAAAGCTAATTTGGTGTAGGAGGGGAGCACTGATCACAGAGATGGGATTAAATACCAAGCTATACTTAAAGGACCTGGATAAATAGGCGTGACTGGAGTAGAAGGTTTGTATTGGTAAATAGTAAAAGATAAAGCAAAGTCATTCAATAGAAAAAAAGATTTTGGTTGTACCATAATAGTAATATGTTCCTAAAATCCTCAGTTCACTTGTAGCCTATTTTACTGTTTCTTCTATAAAGGGATTATCACAATGTGAAGTTTGCAGTTGTATCATGACTCTAAATAAATCTTTGTTTACACCCCTAAATGTGTTCTATAGATACTGAGGCCAGAGTCGTTAGCCCTCCTCAGGTTAAAATGATGTTTTGTTTTTCAGTTACTTACACGCCAAGTCAATCATCCACAGAGACCTCAAGAGTAATAGTATCCTTCCTGAACTTGTCTGCGAAGTTTGAAAACATCCTGACCTTTTCTCCTGCATTTTATCTTCACATTATGTAAAACCAGTTTTCACGCTGAGTTCAACAATACACTGTAAAGGGAATCAATAAATGGGTTTGCACTAGAGGGTAGTAACACACAATACTACAACCTGCTTTTGGTTTTTGAACAGCTAACCATTGCAAAAAAAAAATCTATTAAGTCCTTATGATAGTAGGACTATGATTGCTTGTTTATGTCCTGTAAGCACTATAACATGCCTAGTTCTGTAGCTATCTACTAGCTTCTTTCAGTGCCCTGACTTTGTTCAGTGGTCGTTGAGATGTATTTGATGGCTCTACATTATATAACAGTGAGGTGAGGAATACATAATGTTTCTTCTTCCTCCATAAGCCCAGATTCAGATCCGATCTGCCAAGTGCCTCAATGCCAGTGTTGAGCTTTATAGCCTTTCTAGCAGTGCCAGAAGGAGATTTGGGCCTCTTCTACTAAAATCCAATGGGGAAGTCTCAAGGTCTCCCACAAACTTAGGAAAACAGCGTACCTCATCTTACCACGTTTCAGGCACCAAAAATCCTAAAAGCAGGTCATACAGCTCAAATAACACTATTTTTAAAGCATACTTATTAACTTTAAAAGAAAATGCGAAGTACTATACTTCTTTTTAAAGAATATCATAGTAAAGAATTGTGGAAATTATATTGCATACCTAAAATCTTCATAATGCTTGCTTTGATAGGAAAATGAGACCTGTTGTTTTCCTTTACTTACTACACCTCAGATATTTTTCTTCATGAAGACCTCACAGTAAAAATAGGTGATTTTGGTCTAGCCACAGTGAAATCTCGATGGAGTGGGTCCCATCAGTTTGAACAGTTGTCTGGATCCATTTTGTGGATGGTAAGAATTGAGGCTCTTTCTCCATTAATTAAATTTTTGGCCCCTGAGATGCTGTTATTAGAAAGTCATTGAAGATTTCAACTATAGTGTTCTCATAGTTCTCAGTATTCACAAAAGCCAATGTTGATCTTATTTTGTTATAAATAGACTTTAATTTTATCTTTAGATAGAATATGATGGAACCAGCTTCAGTATATCTTAAACAAAGGAATGTATCTTTTATAAGCACTGCTTAAGTTTTATATAGAATTATCTCTCTAAAATATTTTGTGTTTAGAATGTTCTATGTATGCTGTTTCAAAAAAAACAAGTATGTAATTTAAAAGTAGGTGTGATCTGCAGCCATTATTAAGGTTTCAATAAAAGAGCTACTCTTTTTAAGAATAAGAGACTGTTTCACAATCTTATTTAAGCCTAAATTGGAAAGTTACTTTCTTTAGACTAGAAAGAACGGTGTAATTATGGGCAGCTGGGAAAAGAAAAAGAAAAATGAAAGGTAGATTTTTAACACTGTCAGCCTTGTGTGCCCTGCATAGTTCCTTCTTGTTCTTTCTTTATTCCTATTTCTGCTTTGTGGAAAAGAAGAAAGAGAAATTATAAGAAGAGGGAACTAAATAAATAAATAAATAAATAAATAAATAAAAAACAACAACAAAAAAGAGGGAACTATAACTTTTGTTCAGTTCCTTTCAGCATGCTGTGAAAAGGGCGGTCATAGGGCTTTTCTTAAGCCAGCTCTTCTCAGGGGGGTCCTTAAGACCCTTTAAGGTTTCCCAAGATCGTCCTGTGTGAGACTAGCTTTTTCTTCATACTGTTGAACACATCCCACAACAGATTGAATGCATAAGTAAATATGTGACCGTAGCTGGCTGCTGTTAAACCAGTCAAAAAGAACTACAGGGACTTACTTCCCTGGCAGTCCAGTGATTAAGGCTTCATGCTTCTACGCCAGTAGTCACAGGTTCAGTCCCTGGTAGGGAACCAAGATCCTACATGCCTTGTGGCGTGGCAAGGGGGAAAATGGCGGTATTCTTCTCAGTAAGCTTTGTTTTTGAAAATCTAGTTTTTTTTTTTTTAAAGGGGGGTAATCTGTCTTCACAGCTAATGGTTGTTTTATAATTTAATAAATGTTTTAACAGTTCCTCAGTAAAGTTTTAATATGATCAATATCCTCAGGTATAATCCATATAAACAAACGCTTCTTGGGGTCCTCCATAATTTTTAAGACTGAAAAAATTCTGAGACCAAAAAGTTTGAGAACCTGTGCTCCAAGTTGAATACAGGATGCTCCAAAACTATTAGTGCAGTTTTACGTTTTGAATAACTGAACCTGCAGTAAAACTTTGGGACACCTGCTGGAAATAGCAAAACTGCAAGGGCTTTCAAAGCCGCATTTGCCTGAATTCCCTGAACTTATCTGTAGCAGTTCTTAAGAAGAGGATTCTGAATTAGTCACGATAAGCCTGGGGTTAAATTTGGCTATGATTTCTTATAATAACTGGCATTAGAGTGAGTGGCAAGGTGGAACTGGGTTGGCATTGGACTTGGAGTCCAGAGGTCTGTACTCTCGTACTTTTGACTCTAAACCTGCCTGTTTCTTGACCTCCTCCAAGTCGTTCCATCTTTAACACTGGGTTGAACTAATGGATTTTGAATGCCTTTTCTGGGATCTAGTAACTAGAGCTAGCTATATTTTTCTTTAATACATATTTGTTTTAATAAATAATTAAAAACAAGCTAATTAATCATTGTAATCTGGATCTCAGACACCTTTAAGTCATACACCTTGTAACAAAGATAACAGGTTATCCTGGGAGGGGGTGAAATTGCAAAATCTACAATTATAAAGAAACAGTTGATACATGTTTTAAAGGTGTGTTTATTTTAACTAGTGTGGGAAAGTTAGGCTCAGTCAAGTCTTCAGGTTTGTCCTTTTCCAAAAACCTTAGGTTAAACAGTTTATGGGCTATTATACATTGTTTTATATTTTCTTTTAATTTCTTTTTTGTTGATACCTGGGCAGATGGGTTCATCCATTATTCCACCAAGCTGAGTTTTAAGACAAGAGATTAGTCAGTAGTACACTTAAATGTTGAGTAAAATCCTTTTGAGTTGATTCTGCCTTCATAAACAGAAACATCCATAGACTAGGAGAGAAGAGCTTGGTCAGAACCAAAGGTTAGGTAAGTCCCTGAATTATTTACAGTGGTAGTCTCAATCTTGCTTTATTTATATCTTAAATAATAAAACCTTTTGTGAAAATTTTCATGTTACTAAATTAATTGAGGATAAATCATGCATTTCTTATAAATAGATCACATATGACTTTTCATCAAACCATCTACCAACAGTAGTGAAGTAAAACTAAATTTCAAGAAGGCAGTTCTTCAACTGTTCCTCACAAAAATTGCATCCTGGCTTTGAAAATTATGTCTGTATCATAACCAGCCTCTTAATAATCTGGCTTGTTGATTGCTTCACAGTTGTATGGGGTTTATTTTGCACTGTACTACCAAGAACGGTTATCAAGAAAATACATGACAAAACCAAGTGGATGGACCCCTCACAGCACCCTCACCCCTCCCCATCCTTTACTCGCATCTGGAGCTCCCATACATCTTTCCTCAGTGGTTTTCAGCCTTGGTGGACATTAAAGTCATCTGGGGAGCTATAAAAACTAGCAGTTGAAACTGATACCATCCCTAGACTCTGATGGTGTATTACTGAGCTAGTATGTACTCTAGATGTTGAGAGTTGAAAGGCTGCAGAGGTGATTCTGTTTTGCAGGTAAGACTGAGGAGTGCTGTTACTCCTTGTAAGATAGTCTGCCCTGCCTTACCCTGACCACTAACTGGGAATCTTGTTCCAGGTCTTTGGGCCATTTTTGCAGCTCGTCTTGGTTTTGTATCAGACTCATGTTTTCACTCAAGGTTTTCACTGCAGTTTCTCTAATTTCTTCCCAATGAAACAGTACAGAAGATGCAAGGTGAAGGAACTCTTTAAACCTAATAGTTAATCAGCCATTTATTGTATTACATGTAAATGGCTAATAATGAATCTAGTTGTAGACTATAGTAATTGAAATGCATAAAAATATAGCAAATATGATTAGGTCTGTATCTTTGCCCAAGAAGCAGCAGCCAAAAGAATCTTTATACCATTTTCTACTAAATCTACCTACTTTCTGTTGGTTTTGTTAATAAAGCATCCATGGCATAATTCTACTGCTTTTGGAGACAGGAAAGGCGTTGGAATGTATCAGTCTTGAAATTTTACCATGATTTTCTAACGTGTGCTGAGATAAGGAGAATCATTTGTACCAATGGGAAAAACTGAAATTCTCAGGCGATTACCATAGTGGTTATGCTGCTTTCAAACATCTCATAATGACAGGTCTAGGGTTTCTTTCCTGAGTCAGTAATGGAAAGTGGGAACTCACTCTTAATAGGAAAAGTAATGGGAAAAATTCAAATGGCAGTAATGGTATTTTGTGTAGAAAGACGGCAGCTGTTAAAATTTTTTAAATCTTAATAATGTATATGGAATCTCAGTACTGCTTCTCTCAGAGTTTACAGAGCATTTATTTTTTGTTTATCTTTGATCAGTTTTCTTTCTTTGGCCATAAATAAGAGAATCAATTACATATTTTACATAGATTATTTAATGATAAAAACATTGTTCTGAGAATTATAATAGTTTGGTTTTCAGTCTTTATTTGGTTGATGTGAATAATAAGCAACAATATTTTTCTTTTTATGTTCTACCAGGCACCAGAAGTAATCAGAATGCAAGATAAAAACCCATATAGCTTTCAGTCAGATGTATATGCATTTGGGATTGTTCTGTATGAATTGATGACTGGACAGTTACCTTATTCAAATATCAACAACAGGGACCAGGTAAATATTCACCCATTTCTTGGGGTTGATTTTACTATTTGTCGAGAGGCTCCAATTCATTGTAGCAAAGAAGTCTTGGATCTCGGGTAGGCATGAAGGATAGAACTCTTGATCTTGGTTCCAGGTTTAGAACCTTTTGTTCAGTACTTTTGACAGTAATAGCAGCATGTAAGACCTTTCCTTGAAATACCATGCTTCAGTGTTGTAGTGGAGTGAACCGCCTGCTCTCCTGACTAGGAACTAGAGACACAGTGCTGGATCTGGGTCCTGCCTTGTGACCATGGCACAGTACTGTAGCATCTGGGCTTAGGACTTTTACTCTGTCACAGATTGTGCAGTCAGGTCTGAGCAGGTACTCAGCTGTGAACTTCTTGATACCAAATCCTTTCAAAATTACTAAGCTTTCTCCCTACGTTTTAGATTTTTAAAGCTAGATAAATGAAAGGACTGTTACATCATGCTTTCATTTTTCTGTGATACGAATTCAAGTAGGAGGGAATTTTTTACTTCTCTCTTCCTAAGCTCCTCCTCTCTCTTCCTTGTCTTCCAAAGTGTCAGCGTTGCCTCGTGCAGCTCTTTGTCATTTTGATCCCAGCCATGTTAAATTCACCTAGGCTTTTAACACTGGCCAAGAAAAATGAATTGTCTTTACTGAAATTACCTTATACACCTTAACATTTTAAAAGAGTGTGTGTGGGGCGGGGGGGCGGTGTATATGGAGAGAGATTGCAGCAGTTTTACTGTTAATATATTAGAAAACAATAGTTGACCATATAAACTGGGATTAAAATAGTATTTATACATTATACTGTGACTTGCATGTGAATCACCCGGATAATTTGTTTTAAAAATGAAGATGCTGGAGCAGATGCTGATTCAGTGGGGTGGGGTCCAGGCATCAGCATTTTAATGGGTTTACTGGGCGTTTCTAACACACACGGAGAATCACCAGTGTAAAGAGTCTTTAAAAAAGCATGAAAGTTGTATGTGCTTGGTCATAACCTCCCAACCTAATGAAATGCTAGTTTTTAATGTATAATGCTTCCTTTAGTAGTTTTTTGGTCAGCAGTTCAACTGTCAATCTTTTTGGTAATAACTGAAGCTTTCTAAAGATATTGGGTAGCTTTCTCCCTAAGAATTTTTAACTATCATGTAATAACAGAGAAGTAATCTAAGTTGTCATATGCTTGTGTGTACTTATTGAATCACCATATGACCCTAATTCAACAATGGCCTTGATTCTCTATCTTGAGGATTTTTTAAATGGCTACATTTCCACCTAAGTCAGTCTAAAACTAAATTTTTTTATTTGTTGTTTGGTCTTTCTAACTGCTTCATAGCTTTAAAATGTTGAATTATAGCTTTAAGTGTTAAAGAGAAATCTATGACCTGGCTTCTGATCTGATTCTTTTAAGCCTCCATGAAATTTAGATTCAGAGTGGGCTAAAATAGAAGCTAAAGAACATAATTGAAACAGTGTACTTACTGTCCTTGTGACAGATCCTAGATCACTGAGATGATTGATTCGATGGTGGCATTCTGAGGAGCAAGATTGCCTCTAATTTACCAGCTTCATGTGGTCTGCCTGTTACAGTCTTATTAACTCAACCATCCAGCATAATACCCTGTGCCATGTTCAGTTTTCCTAGCCATACTGTTCTTCTAGACGAATCATGAGGGAATTTTAGTTTAGTTTTAGTTGATTTATCATAGAGATAAAAAACAATAAAAAATTACAAACCTAAGATCTGAATGAAATCTGTTTGTCAGTGAATAAGTTTGTTTTAATAAAAGAATAAAGTTATATTATGGAAATAAGTAGTAGTGTCTCCAAAATATGGAAAAAGCATCCCAGAGTTCTGCACTCATCCACTTCTTGGCATTTTAGGTGCTTTGTCCTCCATGGGAGTGTAATAAATGCTGTGCAAGGGCTTACTTCCCATGAGAGAAGTGAGTGACCAACAGAAGGGTAAGGCCTTTACTAGTTAATTCTTTCTGGTAGTATAGTTAGAGCCTTCTGGAATTTGCCAGTCTGAAACCAAGTGTTTGATAAAGAAAAAGGATATGAAAGAATTGTGTACTCTTCCCACCATCCCCATTCTACTTCATTACTTTATAGTCTGCTGTAAGTGGCGCTTTTCATGGAACTCCCTCTTTTGAATCAGAAACTCTAGTTATCCTCAGTGAAGTAACCCCAGGTAGTGTTCCATCCATCTCCTTGATTTGATTTTTCTTTCTGTCTTTCTCATACTTTAATCTCCATGGCTCTCAGATTGGACTTCTGTTTGAAAATCTAGGAATATTCTTTATTTTTTCCATGGGAGATGGTACAGCTGCTTCTTTACTGTGTAATGTAGGCCCATCCCCCCATATTCTCACCCCTCTGTAGTCTGAGGTGGCAGGTTTTGCCTGTAAATTCAGGATAGGACTGGTCAAACAGCCTGATGTGATGGCAGATGTTGGACTCACAACCTGCATGACCTGGCTACTGTACCTCTCTAGGTATCTTTTTTTTTTCAATTATTAAAAATAAGAGATTGAACTAAAGAATTCCTTAAAGTTAACAAAGATCAGATTCTTTCCTAAACAGGCCTCTTAACTCCTGGAGGAATGACCATCCCTATATGACTTTGCCAAGTAGCATGCCTTTTATTTCACTTACACGAGTGCCAAAAGTCTGAGAAATTGCTTTGTCCTTTCCCCTCTCTTTATCATTCTGTTTTGCGTCACCCTATTCTTACCTCTTGCAGTGCAGCTTCGATACTAAATTGGGACTAATAACGTGCTCAGTTAAGCTAGGTATAGTGACTTTTTTTCTCTTGGAGCAGAAGTGCTGTGTCATCTTAGAAGAAAATAACAGATAATGCTTATATTTCACATGAATTCCAGTTACTGCTGTATAACCAACCACCTGAAATGTAGTGACTTAAACATATCAATCTGCAATGTGGGCTTCTCTCAGTGTGGAAGGTTTCTCTCTATTTCACATGTTATTGGCTGTGGTCAGTTCACTGGCTGATAAAGGATCTCCTTCCAAAATGGCTCATTTGCATACCTGAGAAGGTGTGACCAGTTAACCAGTTAGCTGTCAGCCGGAAGCTTAGTCATGGCCAAGGCCCAGGGGCCTCAGTTCTTCTCAACATGGGTCTTTCTGTGAGGACTTTTTCACAGGAACCTTGGACTTTATCACAGTATGGTGGCTGGGTTCTAAGCTGCAAGATCTAAAGGAGACAGGAAATGACAAGTACCAGGGAATGATAACAAGTATTTTCTTGCTGTTGTTGTTTAGTTGCTAAGTCAGGTCCAACTCCTTTGTGACCCCATGGACAGTCTCCTCTGTCCATGGGATTTCCCAGGCAAGGATACTGCAGTCGGTTACCATCTCCTTCTCCAGAGGATCTTCACAACCCAGAGATGGAACCTAAGTCTCCTGAATTGGCAAGTAGATTCTTTACCACTGAGTCTCCAGGGAAGCCAATAAATTACCAACATGCAAACTAGTTTATTTTAATAAAAAAAATTTTTGATGCCTACTGTATGGGATTTAGAGCAATACAAAGATGAGTAAAACATAGATTGTGCTCTCAGGGGAGTTCACAGTTCTGTTGAGGCAGTGCAGGAGGTGATGTTGAGGATGAGCAGATGCGTGCTACAAGAAAACAGGAGTGAAGGGAGGGCAGGGATACCAGGAGTGCAAGTGTAGATGTGTAGATTGAGGATGAAAGTAACCAGTCCCAGAATTGCAAACCAAGCTGTTAATTTTGTAGTGTAAGTGCCAGTTTAATTTCCTATCCATGAATTACATCCGGCAAAGACCTTCCCTTAAGTTTAAATCATTGCAAAGAATGTAATTTTCAGTGTATTATATTGACATTTCCAAAAAAAGCGATTATATCACTTCTAAATGTACCAATTAAAATCTAAGTCATACTTTATTTTGATACTTACCATCATTACTTGTTTAAAAAATATAAAACCTCTTCATTAATTTTTGGAAGTTTTAGAACTTCCATGGCCATCCAGTGGTTAAAACTCTGTGCTCCCATTGCAGGGGACACAGGTTCTATCCCTGGTTGGGGAACTAAGATCTGCACAGTGCAGCCAAATATGTATATATATGTATATATATATACATACAAAACATGTATGAATGAATATTATATATATAGAAATTTCTGCAAGTTTTGCATGGCTCTTTTTTTGCCTTTAAACTGTTGAATATCTGTATTTTTCTTTCTCCAATGAATTTTTTTTCCCTAATGTAACATATTTTTATGCTTTGAAACCTCTTATTGATCACTCAAATTACATCTCTGCAACAAAAAATAGGGATTTTAATTTAGAATTTTTTTTTTAAAGTTGCCAGTGACCTTAGGCTCTGTTAACTTTTTAAATTCCAAATTATCTATTAACAATTATTAATATATATCTGATGAAAATAACGAACAGGTTTTGATATATAGAAACAGGTAAAATTTTATTGGAAATGTGTAATTTAATGAACAACATGGGACTTTTGTCTTCTCTTCATCCATATATTTGTGAAAAATAAGACTTTTGCTAGAATAAGCTGGGACTTAGCATCAGTCCTTTTTCTAGTTTTATTTTTAAAGAAGTACTGAGAAATATTGTTCAAATAAATATTAATAAGAGTATGGGAAAGTCAGAAGTTTTGTTACAACTGTATGCAGAGTTCAGCAGACCTCCCTCAGGTTCAGTAACTCTTTAAGTTTTACAGAACTCACTGGAAGTTGTTAATACTCACATGATGGTTTATTAAAACAAAAGGATACAGGTTAAAGTGAGCCACAGGAAGAGGCACATAGGGCAGAATCCAGGAGAGTGTCGCATATGGAGCTTCCAGTTGTCCTCTTTCAGTGCAGTTATGGCCAGTCCTAAGTTCTCCTGGCAGCCACATGTGACAGCATGCAGGAAGTATTGCCAGTCAGGGAAACTCACTGAAGTCTTGGAGGCCAGAGTTATTCTCGGGCCTCAGTCACATAGATACAGTTGGCCACCTTAGTTTTTAGCCCCTGCAGAGATCAAACTGATACCATGTAACTTAAAACCCTCTCAGTAAATCACATTGATAGAATAAGACTGTCTGACATGATCTTAGACTCCCAGGTAGACAAAGGAACTCTTATAGGGCAGGACATTCCAGGGCTCAGAGATTACCTTCCAGGTAGTGCTGGTGCTTAGTCGCTAATCCACTCCTCCTCCAGGGGATCTTCCCAACCCAGGGACTGAACCAGAGTCTTCTAGGAGCCAAAGGCAAAAGCCAGCCCTCCCTGTGGGCAAGATTAATTCTTTACCATAACTCTGTCACTGGTTATTTGAACTCTTTCTATGGTGGTGGTTTAGTTGCTAAGTCGTGTCCAATTCTTGCAGCCCCATGGACTATAGTGTGCCAGGCTTCTCTGTCCATGGGATTTCCCCAGGCAGGAACACTGGAGTGGATTGCCATTTCCTTCTTTAAAATATATAAATATATGCATAGAAATACTATAGTTTTATTAAACTAAAAGTAATAGCAAGTTATTTAGAGAAGAGTCACTAAAATTGAATTTTGTATCTTTATAAAACCAATTATACTTCACTAGAATACTCTAAAAGTTGAATTTAATTTTCGAAAGAAAGCATAAGAAAATATGTATCTATTCTACTAGTTGATCACATAAAACCATCTTAAACTATTTCACAAGTCCCCAAAATAACAAGACTTGTCAACTTTCACACAGATTATATTGCTTGACCTACTTATTTCTTCTATTGAATTTCTTCTTGCTTTATTAAAAAAACAGAATTTAATTAATGTCAGTTAAGACAAAGCCATGAAAGATGCTCAGCATCACTCATTATCAGAGAAATGCAAATCAAAACCACAATGAGGTACCATCTCACGCCAGTCAGAATGGCCGCTGTCAAAAAGCCTACAACCAATAGATGCTGGAGAGGGTGTGGAGAAAAACACTGTTGGTGGGAATGCAAACTACTACAGTCACTCTGGAGAACAGAATGGTGATTCCTTAAAAGAATGGAAATAGAACTGCGGTACGACCTAGCAATCCCACTGCTGGTCATGCACACCGAGGAAACCAGAATTGAAAGAGATACATGTACCCCAGTGTTCATCGCAGCACTGTTTACAATAGCCAGGACATGGAAGCCATCTAGATGTCCATTAGCAGACAAATGGATAACGAACTTGGGATACATATACACCATGGAATATTACTCAGCTGTTAAAAAGATTGCATTTGACCTCTCATGAGGTGAATGAAACTGGAGCCTAGTATACAGAGTGAAGTAAGTCAGAAAGAGAAACAGCAATACAGTATATCAACGCATATATATGGAATTTAGAAAGATGGTAATGACGACCCTATATGCAAGACAGCAAAAGAGACACAAATATAAAGAAAAGACTTTTGGACTCTGTGGGAGAAGGCAAGGGTGGGATGATTTGAGAGAAGAGCGTTGAAATGTGTATTACCATATGTAAAATAGATGACCAATGCAAGTTCGATTCATGGATCACGGCACTCAAAGCCGGTGCACTGGGACAACCCAAAGGGATGGGGCGGGGAGGGAGGTGAGAGGGGGTTCAGGATGGGGGTACACATGTACACCCGTGGCTGATTCATGTCAATGTATGGCAAAAACCACCACAATATTATAAAGTAATTAGCCTCCAATTAAAATAAATTTATTTTTTAAAAGTCTGTGCAAGGAAAAGAGACAAAGCCATGGATCAGAAGCACATGGCCATAACTGAGGATTTTGTGAACTCTCACAAGGAAAAAATTTGCTCTTTGAACAGTAAGAAGGAACTCTATAAAACAAATGTAACTGAGAGCTATTCAACAGATTGAAAGCTGAAAGATGACATTGGAACTGACAAAATGTTTCTTAAACATAAATGATCAAACAATGAAACTACATAATATCTCCTGTGGCTGAAACATTCAAGAACTTTAAAGTGCTTAAGTTAAAAATAAAATCCTAGTAAGCAATGAGGACTTACTGTGTAACATAGGGAATATCTTATGACCTATAATGGAAAAGAATCTGAAAAAGAATATATATAACTGACTCACTTTGCTGTAAACTAGAATCTGACACAACACTGTAAATCATTACACTTTCTATTGCATACCAAAAATTATTTAATAACTTGTCGTTAAAATTATTTTAGTAATTAGCTGGCAATTCAGTTGATTTTGCTGAAAGCAAAGAATTGGAAACCAATTGTGTTACAAAGGGATTTGCTACCCATTCATTAGAGTCTAGTTAGACAGCAGTATTTAAAAGTGTCCCTTTGGTACCCTGAGCAGTTTTACACCTTGGCATGGTGTGATATATGCAATATATTGTGATTGCAATATATCACACAATGCAGTGTCATATATGCAATACATTGTGATATGCAATATATTTAACTTGCATATGGGTAAAAGATATACCTGTTATGAAGTGGGAGAAGAGCAGTTAAAACAGAGGAGATGGGAAAGGAGGTAAGCGAAATTAAACTGACTTCACTTTGGTGGTGCTCGGGTAAATCACCGTGTAGTTAAATAAGGGTTAGTACAGCACCAAACCAGAAATAACATAAAGTAGGATATCAGACTTGACTGTTTCTAAAATTCATCAATTCTGCCCTGTAACCAAGGATCTCTGACTGCCCCTTTCCACCTTAGAGTCTGTTGTTCAGTAGCTCAGTCAGGTCCCCATGGACCATAGCGCTCCAGGCCCCCCTGTCCTTCAGCGTTGCCCAGAGTTTGCTCAGACTTGTCCATTGAGTCTTGTCATACTATCTAACCATCTCCTCTGCTGTCCTCCTCTCGTTTTGCCTTCAGTCTTTCCCAGCATCAGGGTCTTAGCATCCAGGCTACCCCTGTTGAACCTATTCCCTCTAAGGTCAAAATCCCTCTCTCCTCCCTGAGACTTAAGACTGCTTACATCTGTCTTTGCCCACTTTCAAAAGAACCACAAGTAAGAAAATTAGAAAAGAAAGAAATCAGAAAAATTGCAAATCTCTGCCTGCAGGAAGGTAAACCTTTTTTCTTGTTAAACAGAAGATTTTAGTTCCCTGTTCACCTTCTCTCTGGAGGAGACTGATTCTCAGACTTATGTAACTCAATGCCCCATTGGAGTTTCCTCAACAAAGAGAGTTCAAAGTTCAGATGACAGAGCAACTGCTTAATGGATTAACTTTGGTTAACCAAAGGTTAATTCTTGGTTGAATGGAAGAGGTAGATCTGATCTGTGTTTCAGAGTGATTACCCAATCAGTGGGAAAATGGACTGGATAAGGAAAGACTGAAAGTGTGGGAAGCAGTTAGGAGACCTTTGCAGTACGCACGGGATCATGAAGATTTCAGCTTGCAGCACATTACGTATTGATTCCCCGTAGTCTATGATATATAAGACTCTGAATACTAGTGGCATTGTGCTTTTTACTTTTTTATTTAAGTGTAATGTACATACAGAAAAGTCCATGTCTTACGTGTACAACTTGTTGAATTTTCAGTGTTTTCACGTATTTACAAGATTATATGATTTGCCTTTTTTTTTTCCTCCCCAGATAATTTTTATGGTGGGACGAGGATATCTGTCTCCAGATCTCAGTAAGGTACGGAGTAACTGTCCAAAAGCCATGAAGAGATTAATGGCAGAGTGCCTAAAAAAGAAAAGAGATGAAAGACCACTCTTTCCCCAAGTAAGGAAAAGCTTTATGTTGCCTAAAAGGACAGACTGATCATTGTAATGCAGATTTTTAGGCACTTTTTTAGAGCACACAGTTTGTATTTCACAGATTTGGATTCCTTGTGATTATGTGAAGACTCATATAAGTAAACATATTATTATTAAAGGAGATTGAATGAAGGTTGAACCTAGTAACTTAGGATCCCAATACAAAATATTCAGAAAGCTTTTGCTTTTGTCTAGCAATTCTCAAACGTTTTGGTCTCAGAACCATTTTCTACACTTAAAAATTATTGAAGACCCCCAAAGACCTTTTGTTTTTGTAGGTAGTAATTCCCATTTTAGAAATTAAAACTAAGGTTTTAAATATTTATTTATAAATTTACTTAAACATAGTAAAACCATTACGTTAAATAATGTTTTATGAAAAAATGTATTTTTCCAAGCAAAAAAAAATTAGAGAAAAGTGACATTTGTTTTACACTTTCTCGAAAATTGCTGCAAAAAGAAGGCAGCTGGATTCTCTGCTTTGCATTTATTATGTTGTAATATCTTACATTATATAGCCTCTAAAAACTCCACTTATAAAGTAATGACAGTAAAAAAGGCAAATAATATCTTAGTGTTAGTGCATTAATAGTTTTCTACAGACCACACTTTGTGTACTGCTACTTTTATTCTTCTTGACAATAAAATAAATAGGTGGCAAGCATCCCTCTAATATTAGGTTATCTGAAGAGGCATTTTTACCTGGGGCAAAAAGAGAAGGCAGCTCTTGGTGTTGTCTGCTGTTCTCTAACTCTTGGAAACTTTCCACAGATTCTTTTCAAGTTGGAGAGCTAACAGCCTTAAGTTAATACTTTTTCATAAGCCTCATGAACTGGAACTAAGTACCTGAACAAGCTTAGGAAGTTTAGCTGTAGTAGGTACAGTCATAAAAATTCAGTGTTTTATAATACCTCAGAAATTCATCATACGCTGTATAAATGTTTCATCGAGTCAGTCCGGATTTCACGTGGGACGTGCTGATTTCCATAACTCAGTACCAGAATTACTGACTTGGTCTTTTGTGAATCTTAACACCTTTGAGTACCCAGTCCTAGCTAAGTTTCTTGGAAGTCAGTGTTACAGGATTGTGTGAGTCTTTTATTTCCAACTAAAGAATTAAAGATAGAATTTATGGTTTTAACCAGTCTCTCTTGACCCAGAGCAGGGAGGGAAGGCTGAAGGGCTGGCTGGGTAGATTTGTTTTACAAATTAGACTTCTACATTGCTATTGCTTTGAGGAAGAGTTGGGGTTTTTAAACCTAGGAAACCACTCGCTTATGACTGTTGAAGTGAACGACCAGTATTGTTGGCCAGCGTCAACAGGGCTCTGCACCATGTTCTCGTTTCACATCCCAGGTGCGAGGCCCCCTGCTTCATGCGGTTGATGTGCATTAATAATACAGATTATATCCTTAGGCTCACTTTTCAGATGGTATCAAAAGGGACAAAATGGTCATATTTCTAAACATAAATAATATTTTACTCTTTTCATGGTATTAGAAAATGAAGTCCATATATGAATATTCCAGATTATTAAACACTGCCACTTTAAGTACTTTTTTCACATTTTCATTGTAAGATCTCTCTTCCCACCATACCACACAAATTTCAGATGGCTAAAGGTTTACATGTAAAAAACAAAACTATAACAAATGATTTTTATAACCTTAAGGTAGGAAAGGCTTCCTAAGCAGGAGACAAAATTCAGAAGTTATCAGAGAAAAGATTAACAGGTATGACATTAAACATTTTACATCTCTGTATAGTAAAAACAATATTGAAAGATAAATGCTGAGGAAAAAAATTGTAGCATGTATAATAAAGAGTGATTATGTTATACAGATCCATAAGTAAAGGTAATCAGAAAGTGAACAAAAAATATGCACTAGTGATTCACAAAAGAAATGCAAATGGTGAATGAACTTGGCACTAGATGTTAAGAATTCAGTGATAATCAGTAAAATACAGAGTCACAACTGTGAAATGCATTTTTATTTTTGTCTCTCAGATTAACAATATATTCAGCATTGGGAACAATGTTGGGAAGTAAGGAAGAGCTTTTCTTTCAAATTTTTTTGGTAGGAATGTAAAGTGGTTTGACCTTTTGAAAGGATTTGGTAGACTCCATAAACTTAAAATACATACACCTTTTGCTCTGGTAATTCCACTCCCAGAAATCTACTCTATGCTACAGAATCTGCTTCCAAGTATCCAGATAGATACTAGATTGTTAACTGTAATAGGAAAAATTAAAGACAAAAAGATCAAGGTGTCTCTGTAGGTGGCTTGGATATCAGTGAGGGGAAAAGAAATAATGCCAGAAAATGTGTAGTGTGATACCATTTTAAATGGTGGCGAGGGTGGGGCTGGGCTCTGTTTTCATATGTGCATGTTTATGCATAGGAAAGGTCCAGAAGAAAGTATAGACTCTTTAACAGTGGTTACCCCTGGAAGGTACGATTTATACTTTTCTGTATTATTTGAATTTGTATTTGTGTGTTATAGTTTTAAAATTTTTGTAACAATGCTTACTTCTTTGCCTTCTTATACTAATCATTATACAGATTTCGTTTAACTTTAAAAAAAACTTTTGGTAGCTCAGAAAAATAATAATAATGTAGTATATAATGTGTATAATACTACTGTATAGCATATAATCATAGTAGTAATAATAGTGGCTGCTGAAGTTTTATTGAGTACTTTCTATATGCCAGGCATTGTGCCAAGCTCTTTATATGTATGTTTCATGTGTTATCATGCTGTATGCCTTCAGGTGTCATAACCTGTTTCTTTGTACCTTAAAAATGTGCTGAATTTCTGCATTTTGTTTATTGGTGTCTATTTGTAGAGTTTTCTTGTCTTTTTTTTATTCATGGGTCATCATCTGTCACTTCTCACTCCTGTGGCACTAGGGTCATTGGGGCCCTATCTTTAATTATATGTGTGAAAGATATTTCCCATTACTAAATCTCTTTAAAGAATGAGTTGCTCTAATGGTTCTGTTTATGAAGTCATATAGTGCTTTAATTATTTATGCTCCATCTTCTTCCCAAAAGGGACTTGTGGTCTGTGAGAAATAGGTATATAATTGATTTTAAATTTTTTGTTGTTTACTATTCCAAGGCTGGCAAATGATCTAAAATTATAAGATCTAAATAAAACTAACTACAGGTTTCTTTTCTCATTCAGTTTATAGAGATTAAAAGATGTAATAGTTAGGTAATTTTCTCTTCTTTTAAAGGAAAAGTATGTTTCTTTAGTATGTTCCAGGCATTTGGGATTAGAGTAAAAACAGTGTAAGATTTCATACACTTTCTTATAAAGTATAATGGGGCTCTTAAAGATTAACACCATCTACATTTTCATTCTTTCTTTCCTTTTTTTTTCTTTTTTTAGATTCTCGCCTCTATTGAGCTTCTGGCCCGCTCATTGCCAAAAATTCACCGCAGTGCATCAGAACCCTCCTTGAATCGGGCTGGCTTCCAAACAGAGGATTTTAGTCTATATGCTTGTGCTTCTCCAAAAACACCCATTCAGGCAGGGGGATATGGTACGTTTCCTGTTCACTGAAACAAACTGAGTGAGTGACAGTGTGTAGGAGGGTAGGGACAAAAGAAAGTGAACATATGTTTGCTTATATATTTGTTAAATTGAATAGGATTTTCTTTTTCTTTAAAGGTGAACAAAAGAACATGGATGTTTTTAAAATCTGGATATAGTTTTTTCCCCAGTGTAAAATCCATGGTTAGCATTAGATTTTCAACATCGAATGTTTTTTTTTTTAATTCACAGACATTGCTGGAAATTTACAGTACCTTTTCCAGAGGCTTTACTTCCCATTCCAAGTTTGTTTTGTTTACTTGGTTAGTCTAATCATTAAACTTTAGTTAAACTTTCCTCACCTACCTTTTGCTATTGGCTAGCCCGCATCTATTAGGGGCTCCAAGAACAGCACTCTCTTTGTGTGTGTGTTGCCAGGTGGGAAACTGATGGTGAGTTAGGCTGTGTTAGTGAAGGTGAACTGACCAGGTCTAATTAGGAATCACTAGAATGGAATAAGCTTATCTTTATTAATATTTTTTCTTATAACTATATCTTTTTGTAATAATTTAGAAAATATAATTTTTCTTCATTCCTTCACAGCAGTATAAATAATCAGTGTAGGTAACCAAAGATATTACTGAGAAGTGGCATGTTTGACATGAGTAACATAGTTTAACTTTAGGTTTTTAGTTAATATTTCCTTTCATATTAAGGATGTCTTACACATTATAGGGGCTTCCCTGGTGGCTCAGAGGTTAAAGCGTCTGACTGCAATGCAAGAGAACTGGGTTCGATCCCTGGGTCAGGAAGATCCCCTGGAGAAGGAAATGGCAACCCACTCCAGTATTCTTGCCTGGAGAATCCCATGGACGGAGAAGTCTGGTGGGCTACAGTCCACGGGGTCGCAACGAGTGGGACACGACTTCACTTTCACTTTCACACATTATAGAAGTCAAATTTGCTGACAAAAGTATTGCCTCCTCTTCCTTCCAGAAAGCACAGCAGAATTCTCTGAGAACTTGTAGGTTGGTTTGTTTTCTTTTGGAGAACTGTGGTTGCTAAACAACTAAGTAATTGATTTTTTTAAAATTATTACTGCTTTAGATTATACTCACCTCTCATGATACCTGTTAGCAATCAGCTTATCCATGTGTCTTGTAAAATATCTTTCCTCCTTATGTTCTTTGCCCAACAGGAGTCCACTTGTTATGAATGAATGCTATTTTCTTTTTTGATTCTCCAGTGTAATTAGTATGTTTAGTGTTTTCTAGGACTCCCACTTTCTTATATTAAAAAAAAAAAACTAATGTGGCAGTCAGTATATTCTTACTGGGAATCAAGAGTCTTTACTGGGAATCAAAGTGAAAGAAGCAGCATTGCTGTTTCAACTTCAGAGTCAGCCTAGGGACCAAAGCCATCCTCTTAAATACACCTTCATTTACTCAGTTTGGATTTATGATGATTTTCATTATAGCTGACAGTTCAAGGTTATTCAGCGGCACACAGATAGTATCTGCATAAATGCCATTCTTGAAAATAAAGGAGAAAATTGGGAAGACTTTATACTAATAATAGTTTAGTCTTTAAGTACTACAGATAACACACAACATCAATAAAATTTTGAAATATTTTATTTCTTTAAGTAAGTTAGATTTCATCCAGGGAAATCACTCATTGATAAGTTTGACATAATTTTTGCCCTTCATTTGGGTAGCTTAAGATAAACAATACCATTCATGCTTTTAAAAATCTATTTATAACTTTTAGTTTAGGAAGAGTAGTGAAAAAGAACATTTCTTGTGTTTTAAAAAATAAGAATAAGAAAATCATAAAAGAATGTAACTTATTCAAAAACATCAAAATTCACAATTTCTAAATTTTCCAGTGACACTAAAGATGCGATTATTAGTAACTATTAGTCTGGGTTTTATTTATTCATGAAGCTGGGTTTTATTTATTCATGAATTGAACAGCAAGCATGTAGCTAGCAAAGTTTTTACAAAATTGACTTTGGTCTGTGGAATGTTCAAAGGTTTGGGCAAGAGTCAAAGGATCTTTTTATTGATAGAGCTCTTTTATAATTTCCCAGCATGGTTTATTCACTTTTATCTTCCTGTCTTTGTTCACCCTCTTTCCCCCCCCCAGCACTACCCCCACACCAACACCACCCAGCCAGCGCTCCACCTCTGCTTCTGACTCTTTTCCCTCCTTCCTTTACCAGTCTCCTTTGCCAGAGGGCATTGCTAAACTCTTAGAACTGCTCGGAAAACTCATTATACCATCCCTTGACATTTGAACATGCTTTCACAGGGTTGCATAGTAATTCTCTTCTTTCCAAATTGGCCCCACTGGAAATGTTATTGGGAGAACATTAAAAATGTAGCAGGTGAAATATTTAAATAACATGGATCCAGAGAAGTATGAAGCATTAGAATGATACGTGGTAGTTTCCTTTCTGTTGTTGCTGTTTGTTTGATACTGAGTTTTAGATGTGTTTGTTCTTCAAACAAGAAAAACATTTTCCTAACCATATGTAGAGTTAATTTTTTTGACTAAGGAATTGAAACAGAAGGACAGACGTTCACTCTCTTGCGACTGACAGCTTCTTTCCTAAAACCTGTACCCTCGGATATTTTCATTAAAGTTGATTGATTTCCTTCTTCAGAAGGCAGCCATTTTATAAAATGTTTTACATTTTAAAAGTTCACTAGTCAATGATAAGGAATGAGGTTTGTCTTCTTGATTTTAAGTAATTTAGGGATCACAGCATTTAAATAAAATACTTCAGGTTTGTTTATTTTCAAATATTACTGTATTGTTGTACCAGCCGTTTAAATCCTAAGCAAGTAGTTAAACTCATTCTCTCTAAAGTAATGACTGTTTAACACAGTAGCTTATCTGGCCTTTTGGCCAAGTGGATCAGTCTAAATGTAAGGAAATCATCTAACTTTTTTAAAGTCTTATGAAAACATTTCATGACAGACGCACTTAGCCAATCAACAGTCTCACTTGATGAGCAGCGCGCATTTCTGCAGCGCCTTTTCTGCGATGGCCTCTCTAAGTTCAGTGCGTCGGGGCCGGGATGCTCCTCATTTCTTATAAACTGCCTGAAAGGCCACCACAGAGACTGAATGGGACTTAACTCTTGTTTCAAATGACTCCCCTCTACATCTAAAACAGGGATATATTTGTATACAAAATAACATTAGATTTTTCCTAGACTATTTTATATTTAAGAAATTTTTATCAAATTATATGTGTAACAATCACTGAAATACATTTAACTCTGGAATTAAGGGTGATCATTTAGTAATATCTTAAAACTAGTTAATAAAGTCCTTAGCTTTCAAATAAACAAATACTTGATATTTGAGGTGTCTGAAATCTTGGGGTCTTCCCAAGTGTTCTCTGCCCTTTTCCTAAATAAAATCAAATGGAAAATAGAGCTTAGGTTATTCTCAACCAGAAAGGAGGTTTTTAAAAAGTTTCATTTTGACCTCTGATTGATTTTTGGTTAATAATTAAATTAATATACTGAGAGTTTTTACATAGAGTATCTAGATGTTTCATTTTAAATAACTCCACAGAAGCAGATTTGGCTCTTACATCAAATAAAATAGAGTAGAAGTTGGGATTTAGAGATTTCCTGATATGCAAGAAAGAATAAGCAAGAAAAAAGGTTTGTTTTCCCAAAATCATATCTATTGTCTGTTACCTCTGTCTTTTCTTAAATTGTCTGTGATTTCAAAGACATGTAGAAAGAGTTTTATTGATACCTAAACTATGAGTTCTTTTTGTTTTTTTAATGTTTTGGTTTTTTGGCCAAGAGGCATATGGGATCTTAGCTCCCCAACCAGGGGCCACACTCACACCTGCTGCATTGAAAGGTGAAATCTTAACCCCTGGACCACCAGAGAAATTCCTAAACTATGAGTTCTTTTTGTCATCCCCTCCCCACACCCTCCACCCCCAACCTAAAGTCTAATGATGAAATCAAAAACTGATCCATTAGAAGCAGTAGATTCTGGTAGCATGATCTTTAGTTTGCTTTATTGTTATTTGATTTGAAGTTTGTTAGTAAGATTTTGTGCTTTGCGGGGGTTGTGTCATTTTATTTTTAAGGCTAATATTTAAGTTTGTCAAGTAGAGTGCTGTTCAAATTGTAATAATGAGTAGGAAACATCTGAAGTTCTTTTTTTAAGTTATTTTTAATATGGTATATACAACTGAGCTTAGAGTTTATCATTTTCTGATATTCTCTTAATAGATGAATTCTAGCCATTTTTTATAAAGATTTCTGTTAAGCAAATCCTGTTTTCACATTGGCTTCCTTTGAGGAGTTTTAGATTCTGCTGGATATGGTGACTGCTCATAAGACTGTTGAAAATTACTTTGTTTTTTTTTTTTTTTCAAGTAATGTTATGTACAGTTTTATTGCCAGTATAAGAAACTATTTTCCTGCTGCTAGAACAAAAACAAAGGGAAGAAATGTATCACAAAAAAAAAAGTATCAGAATAGTTCTGGGGAAAAAATAGCTACCTTAAAAGCATAAGCAAAGGTAATAAGAATGTTTATATATTTCTAGAGTCCCTGTTTACATAATAGCCTCTTATGGTTTTACTTTAAATGTTTTGTTTTCCAAGGTTTTAGTAATTTGGCTTTTTCTCCAGTCAGTGCCAAACTCCCCAGTTCTTTTAACTTTAAAAAATCTTTTACCCTTCCTTGATCTTTTGACTTACAATAAATACCTTGGTTAATTGTTTGTTAAAAGGAATCCTTAAATGGAAAGAGACAATAATACTGTCTGCAGTTCCAGTTAGTAGTAGTATTCAGAATGGAAAAACAGATTATTCATTATTGAAAATTCATTATTGAAAATATGTTCATTGTTAAGACCTTGGACTTTGGAATCAGTGCCTGGCTATGCATTCCAGGTCTGCCATTTTCTGGCTGTGAAATTTTGGACAAGTTACTTAACCACTTTAAACCCCAGCTTTAAGAAGTAAATTAACCCCAGTAAATTAAGAAGTAATAGCACCCACTTCATAGAGTAGTTTTGAGGCTCAGATGCAGTGCAAATGTGTTTAAAGTATTCAAGGAGTCACCTGGTATACTATAATAGACACTAGAATAGTCGCTAATATTATCAGCATACAATCTGAGGATTCTATCAGCCAGTCATTAGCAATCTGTTGTTTGTTGGGACATGCCAGTGTTCTCTAGTAAACAGTTGAAATCAGTAGCAAAAAAACTATCTAAAAACGGATAGATTATTCTTCATTTAAATAGTGTATTCATATAAGTGATTGCTTGGATCCTTATCAGAAGTTGCTGTTACTGAAAAATGATGTTAAGGCTGACTAAACTGTGATAGTTGTCAGTTACTAGCCAACTTCCAGAATGAACTATGGTGTAATTAATAAGAGGAACCTATCTCTAGTTTCGAGTAGAAGGTATGGACAAAATAGTTGGTGAAAAATAATGTCTTGAAGCCCCCAAATTCAGTAAGCTTAAAAGAGTATAATACCTCAAAGGGTCTTTGCGGTTTAAAATTTGTATGCTGAGAATGATGTTCGTTGACATGTGCCTATATGTAATTTTTTGATAGTTTAAAAGGTGAAATGAACCACAAATGGGAGAGGTCTGAATTTTCTTTCCTTCAGTCAAATGTGTAATGTGGACATATTATTTGACCTATGAATTTTATCTTTTACAAAAGGAGATTAATTCCTTCTTCCTTCCTAATAGTTGCATTATAATAATGAAAATGAGTTGATAATTTGGGGGGAAAGTATTCTACAAATCAACCTTATTATTTTACCATTGGTTTTTGAGAAGTTTTGTTCATTTGAACTGCTTATAGCTTGATTAGAATCATAGCATATAAAACCCAACTGGGGGATTATCTGCAGATTTAATGTAGTATTATGTAAGTTGGCTTCTGTCATGGTTTTGACCATTTTTGCCTGTCATTGCTAGATCTGTAATAACATAGCTAGTCACCTTTCAGTGAGGTTTCAGCGAGGCTTTTCTGCGTCTCTAGGCTATTTGAGATAACTTTTTTAAAATTAGCTCTTGTTCTCCCTCTACAGGAGAATTTGCAGCCTTCAAGTAGCCACACCATCATGACAGCATCTACTCTTAATTTCTTAAGTCTTGTGTTCATACAATTTGTTAACATCAAAACACAGTTCTGTTCCTCAACTCTTTTTAAAGATAAAAGTTTTCAGTGCATAAGCTGGTGTGGAACAGAGGAAATTTCCCATCCAACAAGAGAGGGAAGAATGTTTTAGGAACCAGAATTCTCTGCTGCCAGTGTTTCTTCTTCAACACAAATACCACGTGTATACAAGTCTGCCCACTCCCAGGAAGAAAGAGGAGAGACCCTGAGTTCTGACCTTTTGATGGTCAGGCATGATGGAAAGAAACTGCTGCTACAGCTTGGGAGATTTGCTCTGGGAAGTCTGCCAGTCAACTTTGCCCTTCTAACCACCAGATCAGTATGTGGCTGATCGTCTGATGGGGCAGTCGCGATCACCAAGCCTCGTTCTCTTTCCTGTTCTGGGATTGTGTTGTGGAACCCTTTCCCCTGGCCGCCACCGGTTCATTTCTGAGGGATGGAACAAAAATGCAGCATGCCCTTCCTGTGTGGTGCATGTTCAGTCCTTGACAAATTTTTACCAAGATGAAGCTACTTTATTTAAAAGGAGGGTGAGAGGTGAGGAGGTCGGTTTGGGTGTGGAGGAAAGGGAATGCTGCATCTTTTTCCTGGGCTGCTGGGGCTCTGGCCTTGGCTTCCTTGCTCACGCGGCTCCCTGCCTGGCGGGCCGGCCAGAAGCAGTGCGCATTGCCTTCTTTTCCCATTGGGTCCAGCAATGAAGACAAGTGTTTGGGAGTTTTTTTTTTTTCTCCACCTTGTAGCAAGTTCTCAGGAAAATACAATTGATATCTTCCTCCTAAGCTCTTCCAGTCAGTCACCAAGTACTTAAGTGGCTACTTTGTCCAGGGCACAAAATGCCTGTATCTAATTAAAAGCCTACAAAACTGCTTGACAACAATTTTGAATGTGAGACATTTATGTAACTTAAATGTAAGGTACAAGTTTTAATTTCTGAGTTTCTTCTATTATATTTTTATTAAAAAAGAAAATAATTTTCAGATTGAATTGGAATAAAATAATATTACTTCCCACTAGAATTATACATCCTGGAAAATTGTATTTTTGTTACATAAGCAGCTTTTAAAGAAAGATCATTACCCTTTTCTCTACCTAAATATATGGGGAGTCTTAGCCTAATGACAAATACTTATAATTTTTAAATTAATGGTACTTGCTGGATCCACACTAACATCTTTACTAAATATCTCATTGTTTCTTCCAACTTACTCCTATACTACGTCCTACATCTTCTTCTTAGTCTTTTATCTAGAATATGCAACCTGAAATAAAAATGGTGGTATCTTCATTCATTCTCCTCCTTCCTTTTTTCCCAAGCCTGATCTTCAAAAGGTTGGTTAATTTGGCAGCTGAGTTCCCCAGGCAGAGAATAGAGCAGTTTTAGGTGTATTGGGACTGAGGGAGGATGTGTAAAGATTAACATCAGTAAAGAACTGCTGTGGAATATTTAAAAACCTTCTTCTTTATCTTTATAAATGGAGAATATAACCTAATCATAACCTCCCTAAGCCTTTACTAAAGTGTGGCATAAATCACAGTAGTAGCAAAGAAAGAGACTTTGGATGTGTTCCTGGTCAATACCTCCCTTACCATGAATATAGACTCTCTTATCAAGATTTAGGAATGTAAATCAAATCAAATGTACCCAGCCCAGCCAAGCTATGTAGTAAAGGACCTGAACAATATTAGGCAGAACCTATAAAATAAATCAGGGAATTAGAAATTATTTGAAGTTTTCAAACTGTAAATTGCCCTGCTGTCTTTCAGCCTACTAAAGCTTACTGCCATTACATTATTTTTGCTACAATACCTACATTCAGAGGAGGGCCTACTGAAAATTCCATGGATTTGTAAAAGATTGTCCCAGTAAAGTGGAAAATAATCCTCAAGTTATTAATGAGTTTGAAAAACAATGAGTTCTTAAGTCTTTGGTGAGTAGAGCAAGATCCTACAAACTTCAGAAATTGTAAAAATGGATTCATGCTGATTTAAAGAGCATCTGTGTGCATAATACTGCCTCTCTTTTAAAAGCAGTGTCTATTTTTCTTTTTAAATTTGTCCCCATAGATGCTTTTGAACATGAACATGCTCGTGTTACCTTTTCCAGGAGCTCTCAGGCAGGGCCCCCTCCCTCAGCCGGGCAGAAACTGCCCAGGAGGAGCTGGTTATGGAGGAAGCTTAGCGCTGGCATTCTCACAATTCAAGGTGATAACGCTTTCTTCTTCCCTTTCTGTTTTAGACTAGATTGCTATCTGATTTGAAAAAGGGAAATAGATTTGATCTCAAATGAATCTGTGCCCAGAAGCCAGGCTCAGGGTGTTGAGAGGTTTGTATAGTGCCCTCAAAAAATAACAAAATTTTAGCTTTCCTTTTTTCTTCTTTTCTCCATCAGATTCTTTTTTCTCTAGTTTACAAATGAGATGGAAAAGGAATTTCCCCTGAGTTTTGTATGCCTTTTTTTTTTTTTTTTGATGCTTAGACTACAGATAGGCATGTTGAGCTCCTAAGAAAATACAAGGAGAAGAAAAAAAGAAAATACAAGGAGGAACACTTCGTTGTGCAGAGCACTTTATGAGTAGTTTGTGTGGATAGGATGTGACTGCTTCCCTGACAAGCTTGTGAGGCTGTACTTATGTCTTTCCTGTAAGGCGGCTGCAGTGCCTTCTGTAGTGTATATAAGGAAAGGTTATGCCTTCTGAAAAATCTCAGAGCAACCATAAGAAGATTATTTTAAAATATGTAGTATTACTGATGGACTTTTTCATCATTAAATTAGTCTAGGATCTAAACTTTTACCACTGAAATAATATTGACCAAAAAGCAATTTATAAAAGGGATTTGTGAATAGAAAATACAATGTGATCATTTGTACTTATGTGCACCTTAAAAGAGGATTCTGTCTAGCTGTCAAATTCTGGTTCGTTAACATCCAGTCCTTGAGTGTGTTTGAGATCTGGTAGGACATGCTGGGGCACGCTAGCAGATAAAATCCCATATGCTTTAGGATAGATGTTATATTTATGTCAGTGTTGGCAAAGAGCATTGTGTAGTAATAAAGAATTCAAGACTTCAGCACTGTCAACCTGAAACTTTGTAAATATTTCCTAGATTGTCATTTGATGCAGTCATGGCTCTTTATCACACAATGTTATCTTTTCCTTATCAGGCAATGTTAGAACTGCTGCAGCCCCTCCTCAGATCTCACCTGCCCCTCCTGTACATTCACCTTTCCAGCCCTGTGCACACCTCATTTAGCTTTAGTTTGAAACACATTGCAGGGTTCAGGTGACCTCTTCAAAAACTACCTCCTCAGAATGAGGTAATGAATAGTTATTTATTTTAAGATATGAAAAGTCAGGAGCTCTAGAACATGAAGATGATCTAAGATTTTAACTTTTATGTATACTTGTATTTGAGCACTCTCCTTTTGTCCTAAAGGGCATTATACATTTAAGCAGTAATACTGAAAAATGTAGCTCGGAGTATCTGAATGTTGTTGAAAGTGGTGCCAGAATCTGTTTTAGGGGTACGTATCAGAATCTTAACCTTAAATCGATTGCATGAAATTAAATAGTTAATGGTAACACTTGACTAACAGATATAATTTTAATTTTTGGTAGGCTTTTAGCAAGACAGTACATTTTCATAATGAGTTAGCCACAGCTTCATCACATGCACAGATTTTCCTTTTGAGATACTGCCCAGTTAAGAGGGTAGAATGATGACCCATTTCTCAAGATTCTCTTCTTTGTCCAAACCGGCATTGGGAGTACTAGAATATCAGCACTTTGAAACTAGTGATTCCAACCATTAGGCTATTAAAAAGCAAAACAAACCAAACAAACAAACCATAGCCAGACACAGAAAGTTTACTGTGAGTATAAACAGCAAATAGGTTACAGGTCATACATTGAAATGGTGTAGGTTAAGGCGCTAGAAAAATACCTTGACAATTTGCCAAATGATCTTACTGTGCCTTCATGATGCAATAAAAAAAAAAGCTAAAATTTTAGCAGAAATCAGTGATTTGTGAAGAGAGCAGCCACCCTGGTCTAACTCAGCTGTGTTAATATTTTTTAGTGTGCAATTTAGACTGCAAAGATAAATGCACTAAAGTGTTTATAGCCAAAATCACATTTAAAAAATGAGAGAAAACACAAGTAAATTTTCAGTGAACAAAATTATTTTTTTAAAGCACATAATCCCTAGTGTAGTCAGATATATTTATCACATAGAGCAAATAGGTTGAAATCACAATTCAGTGACATTTCTAGAGAAACTTTTTCTACTCCCATAGGTTCTTCAAAGCATGGAACTTATATATAACAGAAATGTGTGACGGACATTTTAAATCGCTGTAGTTTGGGGCTGAAGTACTGTGTGCTGGGCAGCAATCGTATGTATTAACTAGTGAGAAGGGAGAAATTAAGGTACAGGACAGAATTTGATTTTCTGGTTCCCAGAGTACTGCTGCCGACCTAGACACTGAGTTTCCAGAGACTGAAATGTAAACTTGCTGCTCAGGACTTGCAGATTCAGTGGGACTGTCCTGCTTGTGCTGTTCAGAAATGCTCTGAGGGCCAGGCGGGGGCTTCCAGGGGCTCCTCTCTGAGAGAACCACAGACTAGCTAACAACCTGGTGGGCAGATGTGAACTGGACTGTGTGCTTCTTGTATCTTGATTCCTCGCCACCCTCGAGAAAGGCTTCGGCGAGTTCTCTAGACGTTTCCACCAAGGTGTGTTACTAACACCCATAGGTTGTTGAGCACCCGAAGAGTGCAATAGCATCTCTGCATGACTGTATATTGGCCCGAGGAGAATAAAGTGGCCAATGTACTCATGTTCCATGTTGCTAGCTCTGGTAAATTGAAAATGCTGGTAAGATTTTTATCAGTACACTAGAGAGTAAGCTTTGTTTTGTTGTTCTTAATTTTCACTTCCATTTGGAAAGACATTTAAATTGAGTTTCAGTCCTAAATTTTGCCAGTCATGGTAATTAGCAGTTTCTATCAGGTATTTTTAAGGTAGAAGAGGATAGAAACATAAGTTCTAAAATCTTAAGGTAACTGTGGTTTATTTTAAAATGCTTAGGGGTGGTTAGTCTCTACCTCAAAAAAAGTGATTGAGTGAATCTTTTATTTCAGCATTCACAAGTTCGGCTGTTGTTTTTGTAGTACTTTTTTTTTTTTAACCTTTTGAACCCCTTTACCTAAGTGTCAGTGTAGTTTTATTAATTACTAAGTCAGTTTCATTAAAATGTTTATTTAGCAGTTTTGACTAATTGCAATGATATAATATAGCCAGTTGTGCATGAGGACACAGCCAGTGAGTATATCTGGGGTTTTTTTGTGATGCTTTTTTTAAGACTTCTGTAGATTTATGAAGTACTCATTGAAAACAACTAAAATACGTTTATTCATGTTGGTATTTAAAAAAAAAAGCTATGTGCAGACCATCTGCTTCTTCTGGCAGGCTGAGCACATTGTCCATCACCCACAGGTGGCTGGTTCTCATCGCAGAATCTACGTAGGGAATCGGGCGTGAAATTCACTTAAGAGAGAGAGCAGAGGAAGTATTCTGTTTACAGGAATGGAGATGGGAGTTATGAGCAAGTTGCTTAGTCAGTTGGCTGTTTTGAAAATTACTGTGTTACATTTGTGTGTTAAGCCTTTTTAACCTACTTGTGTTTTGACAGTATATG